AAAAGAGAAAAACTCATATTTTTATCTTTTTGTGTTTGTTTTTGACATTTTATAAATTTTTTATGATATTTGATTAATGTAGTGATTTATATATATATTATTTTATTTATATTATTTATTTATTTTTTTTATGAAAAGTCTAAATGAACTAAACCAAAAATCAGATTATGACAAAATGGTCAATGACTAGGATTTCTCTTATTTTTTCTTGGGTTCATGGTGAAATGTTTAGGGTGAGATATTTTATTGAGGGAGTTATTGCTGATTTATCAAGAAAAAGACTTAGCCAGATAAAAGGAGAGAAGCAAAGAGATAAGAGAGGAAAAGAGGAGGGAGAAGACTTTATTAACTATGCTTTAGATGAAAGAGAGAGAAAATGGGTGGTTGAAGATGAAGTTTAAGGGTAAATTTGTAATTTTAACTTTTACAATTAAAATATATACTTATTAAAATTACATATCATATTTAATATTAGTACACGAGATGCCACATCATTATTTTTTACATCATGGATTTTCCACGTCATTTATATAAAAAATAAATCACACAATTCTGCTAATTGACTGTCATCTATCAAAAAATTTAACAAAAAGACTAAAAAAAGATTAAATTTTAAACTTTAGCGATTAAAATGGGGTTTTTTTAAGTAGAGGAGCTAAAAAAAAAGCTTTTTGTTAAAGTAGAGGAACCACAAAAGGGTTTTAACCAATCTATTTTTTAAAAAAAAAAACACATTTATTATGAATTTAAAAGAAGGGCATTTATTAATTTTTTTTGGTTGGAAAGGCATTTTATTCATGTGAAATTACAACAGGAAGAGAACATGAACTTACAACAAGAAGAGAACATGAAATTGCAACAATAGAAAGAAAAATTTTATTTTCCATTTTTCCCTTATGCTTATATAATAGAACATACCACCTTGATTGCAATTGGGAATTTCAAGCACTTCAAAAAGGAAAGTCCAACAATTGTCAGCAAGGCCATTTAAAGCAGCACAACAATCTTTTCCCAAATCTACTACATTCTTACTATTATTAATTACTTCTTTTATATTTTTTAGGCAAATTAAGGCAAACACTAAAAACTTTAAACATTTAAAAATGCTGTTGTCATTCATCTAAGGTGAATTCTTTCTCATTTCTTAGGTGTGTCCCAACTAAAGAATAGATGCTACAATGCACGCCTCGAGGGGCCAAAAACAAAGTGCTTTTGAGGATGAAAATTCCATGATAAATTGTTTTTACGTTATAAAATCTTCTTGATTGTTAGAATGAAAGTTGGATGGAATTTTATAGTCTTTTACAAGGAAGAATTTTGTGTGTGTAAAGATTTTTGGTTTAATGGTAACAAAAATCTTAAGAAAATGGCAACAAATATCCAAAACCAATTTCCATGGCAACAAAATTCCTTGGACATACTAAAAATAGGCAATCGATTTTATTCCATCCAATTTTGTCAAAGTTAGTTATAGTAGCAAGTTAACTTTATATGTTTTTCAAATTTTGATACTAAAAGTAAGTTGAGAAACAATGAATAGACCAACTTTTTACTTTTTACTTAGTAAAAAAATTAAATTTTAATTACAAAAATTTGTCAAATTTTTGCATAATTTCTTGGAAAGGCTGTAATGCATCTATCCACATTCTCTAGAATATATATAGATTCTTTATAATATATATTAATTTTATATATTCATATATTGCTATATGATACCTACATATACGATTCTATTATTAATTATTATTAATTAGATAATATCTATATATAACCTATATAATCTATAAAAAAAAAAAAGGGGTTTGCTCAAGTATTATTTTTTCTGTACTGTAACATATTAATTATCTTTTTTTCCATTGGGAGAGATGGCTGAGTGGACGAAATCGTCGGATTGCTAATCCGTTGTACGAGTTATTCATACCGAGGGTTTGAATCCCTCTTTCCATCTTGCTTTTTGACAGTAAAATACGTCAAATCCTAATACTATTTATAAATATAGAAAAATAAAGCAAGGAAGCCTTTTCTTGTTCTTATTCTTCGCGTCCAAGATTACGTCTTGGATCATTAGATAGGAATCCGAAGATGAAGAGAGAAACAAAGAATATAACTCCGGTGTAAACAAAGAGTTTAAGAGTAAGCATTACACAATCTCCAAGATCTTAAAAAAATAAAAGAGAATAAATTTTCTGTTTTAATACGACATATTTTTATTTTGACATCAAAAAATGAAAAAGAAAAAATTAAAATGAAACGATTTCTAATATTTATAAAAATGGATTAGAATCTTTGGAAATAAAAAAGCGTTTTCAAAAATAGATTTGTAATAAAAGTTGAGTCTTTCATTACCATTACAAAAAAATTTTTCATACCAATAGTTCAATATTGTGATGAACTCTAAATGGGCTCTTACGGTGAAAAAAGGCCGAGAATAAAGAAAAGGGGCGATCCAAATTTGTTACGGCTATCCAAGAATTTCAATGTTTGAATTGAGGGTTCGTTTATATTGTAAGACTTATTTGATCTTTTCCATTGTTAGACTTCTCTAGGCAAGTATTAAGGATCTTATCGAAAACTTATAGCAGCTTGCCAAACAAAGGCTAAGAACAAAAAGAGAACAAGTATTGCTGGCATAACGTCCACGATTGGATTTAAAAAAGCATGAGCCTCGGATAATTTTGTGAATAAAAAGTTATTTGAAAAAATGGCAGAATTAAAACAGATATAGATTAAATTAAAGATATTAATCATAACAAAATTTTGGTCTTGGAGATAATTTTGATTGAATTATTAAGATGTTTTTGATGCAAGGAAAAAACGAAGAAAGGAAAATAAGGCAGATTAAGACCAACCTCTTTGAACGCACCCAATAAAAAAATCTTCAATTTTGACACCTTCAATTCTTACAAGAGAATAGAAGAAATCATAATTTCATACAATATCTGAATAGAATTATATGTAATGATCAATAAATTTGGTTTCAGTCTATCTCCACATGTGTGAAAGTCCCGGCAATAATCAAGTGGAATCTTTATATCTTTGGTTGGAACAAACTGGATTTGACAAACAAGGAATACCAATATTATTCATTTTTTCAGTAGTGTCATATAGCTGGCGAAGCGGTAAGGCAACGGGTTTTGGTACCGGTGATTAAAGATATTTTTTTATATCTGAATAAAGATGTCATAATCCAAGTTGCCCTTTAACCTGCTAAATCTTATTTTATAGAAGTCAAATATGGGCGAGACTTTGAATTTTTTTTTTTTAAAGAATTCCAAAAAAAACAACTTTTTTTTTTTCACAAATTGACTCGAGTCAAATAACATGCAATACGCAAATGGAAAGGAATTCATCTCTATTATGATTCAGGGAAGTTTGAACGTGCAATCATACATTCTAAATCGAAATGGGAAAGTAGCTTCTATCTGCTCTTATCTCTTAAACAAGATAGCCCATTTCCAATTATTCTTTTTTGATTTATGAATTCTATGACCAAAAGGTGACCTTGGGTTCAGTTGAATTCAATCAAGGAAAAGACGGGTTTAGATTAAAAAAAAAAAGATTCTTTTTTTATCGTTACAGAATTTATATAAAGTGAGGGTGCAATGCAACTAGATAGAAGTTAATTTTTATTAATTTTTAATGGAATATTTTCAGTTTAATATTTGTATCTGTCCATTCCAAATCTAAATAACAAAACAAAATTACATATGTAAGGATGCTTTTTCTTTGAATTTTAGGGTTTTGGACTTTGTCTCTAATCTAAAATCTAATAAGGAATTGGAATTCTATTCAATTCAATCTTCTAAATAGAATAGAAAATAGTAAAATTTTCAATTCAATATATTTTTTTAATGATTAAATGACTGATTTAATGACTTATTATCAGTATTTTTTTCTATCTATATCTATTTCTTTTTATTTAGATTTTGATTTATATATAGT